CCCTGCCTCAGTGAATGCCCTTGCCTTCTTCAGACTTCTGGCCGGTTTGCTCAACGGGGACACAGAGAGGAGCGTGGAAGAGCAGGACAGGTGGCAGTTGTGCTCCGAGCTGCGTGCTGGCATCCCCACAGGAGGGCACAGCTCCTCCGCACGCTGCCTTCCCACCTGCAGGGCAGCCCTCTGCTCTCACTCTGTGTCGGGGACGGGAGCAGCCCTCTTGCCAGCTCTGCAGTAGGAACCCCTCCCGTTATGTATTCCTGTAGGCTCCTGCCTTTGTCGACAGTCCTCCTGGCGCAAGCCATTTGAGGTATCCACTGCCCTCCAGAGAGAGAGCGGTGCTAACTGCCATGTATGAGTGAGGATGGTGTTCCGTTGCCGGTGCTCGTGAACTTCATGACCCTTCATTCAGGGGCAGGACATAGTCCTGCGTGCTTAAGCATTCTTGGATTACGCTTGGCCGGTGTGGCTCAGTGAGTGGGTGAGCATCGACCGTGCACCAAGAGGTCGCTGGTTCGGTTCTCAGTCAGGGCACAGGCCCAGGTTGTGGGCCCGATCCCCAGTGGGGGGCATGCAGGAGGCAGCCAATCGATGTTCTCTCTCATCCATGTTTCTCTCTCTCTCTCCCTCTTCCTTCTCTCTCTAAAATCAATAAAGAAAAATAAATTAAAATAAAGAAAAAACCAAAACAAAACACCACACGCTAGGAAAAGCAAGGGAGGCCCCTCCCTGCAGGTTCCAGAGAGAGCTGGCCCTGGAGGCGCCTGGCTTCTGGCTTCCATTTCCAGAGCTGCGAACAGCGTGCTTCTGTCTTTAGTTTGCTCGTTTGTTTTCATGCTGCTCACTTTGTGGAATTTTACTGCGCATGCCTAGACAATTGTGCCGACACAATTCTGTAGTAACAAAAATTAGCAGCTCACACAGGGCCTGGGATGTGCACGTTTACAGCGAGCTGAAGTAAACCATAAATCATTTAGACGTGAAAATTAGGTCAAATGTATATTCCTGCAGAAAGTTCTTTTTTTAATTTTTTTTTCTTTATTGATTTTAGAGAGAGGAAAGGAGAGGGAGAGAGAGATAGAAACATCGATGAGAGAGAACATAGATTGGCCACCTCCTGCATGTCCCCACTGGGGATCGGGCCCACAACCTGGGCACGAGCCCTGACCGGGAATGGAACCAGCGACCTCTTGGTGCAGGGTCGACGTTCAACCACTGAGTCACACTGGCCAAGCTGCAGAAAATTCTTTATCTTCCTCATCTATAGCTTCAGTCAATCTTACAGCCAAACACGGGGCCCCCCCTACCTCCCACCCATTCGTCCTGGGGGGAAGTGACGTAGTCTTGAGCGGGGCACATTGTCAACATTTGTGGAGGCCTAGATCCAGTCCACTTGATCAATAAGCCTAACCAGCCCTTCAGGTTGCTCCCTAAACCAACCCCTTTCTGCATGCACAGGTCCTGTTGGCTCAGACCCACAGAGACAGCTGCTTGAGCTTCCGGGGTCTCCTCTCCCTGGGATCCTCCATGGTTGAGAGGTGCACAGACGGTCATCCCCAGGGAGGGCACGAAGCCACTGGGCCTACACAGGCAGAGATGCTTTTGGAATTCAAATGAACTGTCTTCCACAACTGAAGCCATCCCTTTCATCTCCATGACGTCAAATATTTGCAGACTTCACAGGAGACACTTCCCCTTTCCTGTGGAACCTCCCAGGACCGCCCAGGGACCTGAATCAGGATGGCCTGAGGGACCGCCTGGCCCAGGTGCTATTTTCGAGACCTGCAGAGGGGCCAGGGGCACCCAGACCACCAGGGTGTTCACACTCCCTGCGGCATTGCCACCGACCGGGCAGAAGACTGCCTGTTGGGGCTTCCGCAGAGCAGGGTGGCCACAGACCGGATCTCCCTGCTCCTCCTACCCCGTCTGTTCCGGGTCCATCTCCTTTGACCCTTCTCCCCCTCTCTTCCCTGAACCCCCGTGTCACTCTTTTGCTGGTGTTTCATGTTACTCCCATGTAAGACCTTCTAACATTTTACAGATGGAAAAAGAAGGACTCAAATGCCGTTCTATTTCTGTGCTAGAACAGTTCTCAGTTAACCATGAGGACTAAGCAATGCAGCCTACAAGAGGCTTGTTGTAGAAAACAAAACAAAACACAAAAAACAAAACAAACAAACAAAAAAACTGTGTATTTTCAACTGCATGTGACCAAAAACATGTTTAAAGAAACTCCCGATCGGACATGATGACGCCTGGTGTTTCTGGGACGGGACTCAGAACCTGATTCCTTCAGGTCACATCAGCAAGACCATGACTTTACACGCGAGCAGACATCCCCGTGAGCCATTCCTGGGCTGAACGACACCGTGACCCCGGAGAAGTCTTCCCAACGACACGGGGAGACTCCATGGGAATGAGCCCAGTGCATCCACCACAGCCTCTGTGTCACTGAAGTTATATTAATTTGGAGAGTTTAAACATGTATGCTATATTTATGTACATATTTTAATTTGTAAGTAGGTTATAATGATATGAGGACAAGTCTATGTAATCTATTAAATTCATAATTGTAAAATAAATATTTAAAAAATATACTCATAGGCCCAGCTAATGTGGCTCAGCAGTTGAGCGTTGACCCTGCACCGGGAGGTCGCCAGTTGGATTCCCAGTCAGGGCACATGCCCAGGTTGTGGCCCAATCCCCAGTGAAGGAGGTGTAGGAGGCAGCCAATTGATGTTCTCTCTCATCGATGTTTCTATCTCTCTCCCTCTCCCTTCCTCTCTCTAAAATCAATGAAAAAAAAATACACTCATACAAAAAACACACATCTACATTCATAGAAAAAAGTCACAAGAAAATCCTAGCAATAAAATAGCAATGCCAATCTCTGGACTGTGGTCTATAGGTGACTTTAACATTTTCTTCAATTTAAAAAAAATATTATAACTAATATTGATTTATTTTATAATGAGTTAAAGCACTGTTTAAAGCAAAGTGTAAGTGATACAAAGTATCCAATTAATGTTGAGTGATACAGACTATTACTGAGCCAGAGCTTGTTTTTGTTCCAGAGTCTTGATTATCAGTTCCAGATTTACTACCTCGAGCAAGTCATGATATCCTCATACTCTCTTTTCTTCCATGTAAGATAGAGATAAACACATCACCTCAAATTTCTGTTGTGAGAATTTAAATAAATAGTATTTGTAAACTTTCAGCTCAGTACTGGAGTTGGTGGGTACCGATCAGTCATCAGTGGGCACTGACACCTTTGCTCATTTTGCACCCAAATCACTTCCTTGTTTTTTGGCACAGTGTGGACCTGGGACAAGGACATCAGATTCCTTGGAGTGTTCAGTAACAGTGCATTTACTGGACTAGAACTTTGGGGGCTGGGACATCTATATTTTTAGCAAGAGCCCCCAGAGATCTATATGTTAATTACATTTTTAAATAGCCAGGGTCTGCAGAGAACCCTACCTAGTATTGACCAGGTGGTTGAACACTGTAGGTTGCCACAACCATAAAAAGAAAACGCCACCACGAGTCCTAATTTATGTTATAACACTGTGGAGAAGCAGCATCTACGCATTTTGCAGAGGAAGGATTATGGAAATGCAATGAAATGGCATTCAATTCCATGTAACCAGCATTTTCTGCAGGAAAAAAAAACAACACAAAAAAAAACATTGCCCTTTGTATTCAGATGTGTAAATTGCTCAGTGTCCGCAATCACCATTTTTGCAAAGGTTTGCTTGCATTTCTGCCTGTGCGATTGCATGGCATTGTCCCAACCCCACTGCTTCCTGAGCAACAGTGACCATGTCTGGTTCTGGTTTTCCTGCACATTCCCAGTGCCCAGGACAGTGTCGGCTACGAACGAAGCTCTGCACAGAAGGCTGCCTTGCTGCAGAGAAACCGGGGCCAGAAAACTCAGTGAGCCTCCACAGCGCCCTGCTTTCTCGTTTCACTGTGTGATCCTGCTGGCCTCTCCAACAGTGAGTGACTGAATCTACAAACTTGGATGTGGCCCAGCCGGTGTGGTTCAGTGGTTGAGCATCAACCCCTGCTCTGAGAGTTTGCCGGTTTGGTTCCCAGTCAGGGCACGTGCCCAGGTTGTGGGCCAAATCCCCAGTGGGGAGCATGCAGGAGGTGGCCAGTCGATGTTCTCTCTCATCGATGTTTCTGTCTCTCTCTCCCTCTCCCTTCCTCTCTCTCTGAAATCAATAAAGAGAAAACAAAAAATGTGGGTGTGCCAACTGATGACACTCACCATGCAGAGTGCGCTCATGAGGCTAGATTTTTAGGACACTGTTATATCACATTTTAATTTTGTGGAATTATTCTTTAAAATAAATGAGTGACCATGAGCTGTCTCTAAACACATGTAATGATGGACTCTGACTAGGTCCTCCTGCCCTTTAGAATGAAGTAGCATGATAAATAAAATTGCCAGAACACAACGAAAAGAGATTGCATTCCTTTTTGTTAGGTGTCTGCTGGATAAGCAGTCTGACTGGTTGCTGCCACCCCCGAGTGTGTCTGTGTCTCAGCTCCAGGTCACAGGGACTCCCTGGCCCATGTCACTGAGGCACAGGGGATACGCTGGCAGAAGGCGGGTTCACAGTCCTCAGGGCCAGACATGAATCAAGCTTTCCTGCCACCTGAGCCAAGGTTTCCTGTTCGTTTTGAGGTGTGATTATTGTTTGATTGGTTGTTTTCATTTGCTTTCTGGTTTTGAGTTCTAAGAGAGAAAATATTGTGACAAGTTCTACAGAAAATGCCTGGTAACTCGTTCTTGGTGTCGGTGGAATATGAAGACTGCTAACAAGTATTCTTCTCTCATGAAAACAACACAGCTGCTAATTCTATTATTTACTAAGATAACATTTCCCCCGAACTTGACCTCGTATTTGCAAGTTTCCCTTACCGTGGATTTCTCTTTGCCGTGTACCATCACATAGACAGACAGAGCGTGAGTGGGAACCCGGCACCCTCACCTGTGACGTTGCAGTACACCCGGAGAGGTCCCAGCGGCCCGCTGCCATCCGGGTCGATGTAGAAGAACCCAGCCGTGTGCCCTCGGTGCCGGTACACCTCGCAGGATCGCTCGTAGAGGGCTGAGGAGACACAAGGCAGCAGGGAGAAATGTTCATGGCCCTGCAGACTCCTTGCAGGAACCAGTGACTTCTACTTCTATTGCTTCTCAGTGCTGACTTCCTTCCCTTCTCCTATACCTCAACTTCCCCCCAAGTCTAACCATACCAGCATCCCGATAATCGATGGGGTCCCATCCTCCATTCACCACGAGTCATTCTAACCAGCTCAGCAGTCCCGCCTTCCAAAGGCCCCCCCTCACCTCTGCCACACCCCTCTCTGTGCTGACATGCACGTCCCCCTGGGTGCCCGGTCGCCCTGCACTGCCCGGCCTCCCCGTGGTTACAGAATTATGGGAGTGGCCATGTGCTCGGGATGCTGTCCTCCCGCATCCAGCAGGATGCCCCATTCACAGCAGGTGGTCATTAGTGAATGAAAAACTGAATGAACATATACAGTCATGACTTTCTACTAATACAACAGAATGGCACTATCGTATTTTTATATATCCCAAGCTCAGCATGGTAACTAATACATAGGAGGTGCCCAATCAAGTTTATTTTGACCTAACAAGCATTTACTGAGGCCTTACATCATGTCAACAGTGTGGTTTGCCACTGGACGACAGAGCACAAAGGAGGACACCAAGGTCTTTCTGTGTTCAGACAGGGGCAGACACAGGTGCCCCGAGATGGGGTGCCTTGACCAATCCACAGATACGAGAAATATAAACTCTCATTCCATCAGCGCGAGTAAGTCCAGAGGGGTGTAAAGGAGGCATCTGCTTTCATGCATAAGAGTGACGTTGCCTGAAGCTGCAGACAACAGGATGACTCAGAGCAGCAGGTGCACATCCCCTGGGGTCATCTCCCACACTCTGAAGGCCTCAGCAGCTCCCAATCGCTTTAAAGACACAGCACTGATGCATCCCCATCCCCGGCATGTCCTTGGGACGAGAATGTCCCTCCCAAGAAAACAAAGCTGCCATTTATCATGGTCAAGTATGAGAGGTGCCTCAAATAATTCATCACCAGTAAAGTTCTAAATCATGAGAGGGCTTGAGTTTTTATAAATTGAATGAACTCAAGGTTATCCTTGTATGCACGGATATAGTTCCACCCTACACACTGACCATGTACATAGTTTATTTCTCTTTGCTCAATTCCAATAACACGTTTGGTTGAATGCCATCCATACAAAAGTCACCTCGCCAGCAACTCCCACAGTCCCACTATAACAAGCATAGTGGTTAAGAACATGAGCCCTGGAGTCCAGTCAGTGGTTTTGCCTCACAAGGCCACTTCTCACACCTGTGGCAGCCTGGGTAAGCCAATGCACCTGTGGTAGGCACAGCTAAGCCGACGCGTTCTGTCCTCACCTCCTGGCACCATAATTGGCTTATGAATGCATGCCCTGCCCTGGAGTGGGGGCTGGACTCGTAAACGTGTTTCTAACAGAATATAACAAAAGTGATAAATATAATTTCCAAAATTTGATTATAAAAAGAGAATGGCTCTGCCTGGCTGGTGTGGCTCAGTGGATTGAGCGTCGTCCCATGCACTGAGGGGTCCCAGTTCTATTCCTGGTCAGGGCACATGCCCAGGATGTGGGCTCAATCTCCATCAGGGGGCATGCAGGAGGCAGCTGATCAATGTTTCTATCTCTCTCTTCCTCTCTTTCTAAGAAAATCAATAAAAACATATTTTTAAAAAAGAGAGAGAAAGAGTGACCCCCACCTTGGGAACTCCTGGTTCACTGACTCTTGGGGAAGCCAGTCGCAGCCCTGGGGAAAGGCCCCCAAGGGAGCGTGGGCGCTCATGAGACTGGTTATGGGAGTGAGCTCTGAAGCCGCGCTCCACATTTAAGTACTGAGTGGTCACAACTCTCGCTGCCACCTAACTGCAGCCCGAGGAGACCCAGCCAGAAGCACTCAGTGTGAGTTGCTCAAGGACCAGCAAAACTACATGCAATCCTGTCTGTTCCCGATGCTGCCTTGTGCTGTGGCTCACGCACAGCAACAGAGAGCTGATGGGCTCTCCCGGCCACTGACGTTCTCCCGTGGACATAGATGAGCCATCCCTGTCTCCTGCAGGTGCTCTGACGTTCTCCTGTGGACATAGTTGGGCCATCCCTGTCTCCTGCAGGTGCTCTGACGTTCTCTCGTGGACATAGTTGGGCCATCCCTGTCTCCTGCAGGTGCACTGACATTCTCCCGTGGACATAGTTGGGCCATCCCTGTCTCCTGCAGGTGCTCTGACGTTCTCCCGTGGACATAGGCGGGCCATCCCTGTCTCCTGCAGGTGCACTGACATTCTCCCGTGGACATAGGCGGGCCATCCCTGTCTCCTGCAGGTGCACTGACGTTCTCCCGTGGACATAGTTGGGCCATCCCTGTCTCCTGCAGGTGCACTGACGTTCTCCCGTGGACATAGGCGGGCCATCCCTGTCTCCTGCAGGTGCACTGACGTTCTCCCGTGGACATAGGCGGGCCATCCCTGTCTCCTGCAGGTGCACTGACATTCTCCCGTGGACATAGGCGGGCCATCCCTGTCTCCTGCAGGTGCACTGACGTTCTCCCGTGGACATAGGCGGGCCATCCCTGTCTCGTGCAGGTGCACTGACGTTCTCCCGTGGACATAGGCGGGCCATCCCTGTCTCCTGCAGGTGCACTGACGTTCTCCCGTGGACATAGGCGGGCCATCCCTGTCTCCTGCAGGTGCACTGACGTTCTCCCGTGGACATAGGCGGGCCATCCCTGTCTCGTGCAGGTGCACTGACGTTCTCCCGTGGACATAGGCGGGCCATCCCTGTCTCCTGCAGGTGCACTGACGTTCTCCCGTGGACATAGGCGGGCCATCCCTGTCTCGTGCAGGTGCACTGACGTTCTCCCGTGGACATAGGCGGGCCATCCCTGTCTCCTGCAGGTGCACTGACGTTCTCCCGTGGACATAGTTGGGCCATCCCTGTCTCCTGCAGGTGCACTGACGTTCTCCCGTGGACATAGGCGGGCCATCCCTGTCTCCTGCAGGTGCAGTGCAGACTCAGGGATGGCCGCACACAGCCTCAGCAGAGGGCTTGATGAACACGAGCTGTGACCACGACTGCTGTTGTTACTGTTCCATGAAATATTGCCTCTTTTTGTGTCAGGTTTTTGTTTACTTGATTTTTTTTAGTACTTTTTTTTTTTTAGTGATAACGAGGCTTGTGATTTTCACATCATGCATCACAAGGCTTGTTATGAAAAGTTAATAGGCCCTAACTCCCTTCTGTGCAGATATTGGCTTTTCATTCTTAGTTCATTTGGGTCATTTTCAGTTTTTGGCTATTTCAATTGTAACATTGTAAAAATCTGTAGTGTTTAATTTTCCTTCTGAATATTTAAAAAAAATAGCATGCAATGCTTAATTCATTGATGCACCATATCTCTAATATCTATGAAAATATTAATTATAATGTAGTTTCTTTGACATTTTCATCTCTTTAAATACACTGTTTCCTCCAACTGTGTGTGCGTATGCATGTGCCTGTGCGTGTGTGTGTGAGAGAGAGAGAGTCCATGTTAGTCTCTGTTCTGCAATGTCAGGTGATGTTTTGGACTTCCTCTCATATTTAACTGTGGTTTCGGAACTACTGGTCACTCTAAGCGAATGCGTGCAGTTTCATCTCCAAGGACTTGACTATAGTACAACCTGGCTGGACCCTTCTTGGGAAATCCCGTGTGAGTGCTCTCAGGTATTTTCTCTTGGTGGAGTCAGGCTCTGGAATGTAGAGGCACATTTCACATGAGATGTGGAAGGCGACACAGAACATTCATTGTGCGCTTGAGAAGTCTGTGCAGCACACGAGGTGCTGCCTTGGTTAAACATGTTGTCACTTAAGCTCAGACTTCAGTTACAATGGAGGTTGGCTACGCTGGCCGCTACTCCAGACCGACTGTCTCTCCCTTCAGCTTCTCTCCCCCAGCCAGGTCCCTGTTCAGATCTCTTAGGATCACCCCATCACTAGAGCCGAAGGTCTGGTTGTGCTTAAGACAAAAGGTGTTTCTCTGATTAGCGGCAGACTAAGCCATTTAAGAACAGTTATACAGCTCAGCCGGTGTGGCCCAGTGGTTGAGTGCCAACCCTGCACCATGAGGTCACTGCTTCTATTCCCGGTCAGGCCACATGCCCAGGCTGTGGGTCCGACTCCCAGTGGAGGGCATGCAGGAGGCGGCCAATCAGTGTTCTCTTTCTTCGATATATCTCTCTCTCCCTTCCTCTCTCGCTAAAAGTCAATAAGGACAAAAAAATTTTAAAATGTATATAATTTACTACTGTTTATGTGAAGCTTTAGAAGGAAGTGAGCATATGTTCAATGACCGAGGGTTCCAGGAAGTACAAGCGCCGCCTGTGTGCTGTGACCCCTCCTGTCTGGGGGCCTGGTGCACTGACCACAACAATGCGGACACCTCACTGAGCGCCTTCCCACTTTGCTGTGACTCTAGCCAAGGTGCTCAGAAAGCTAAACTGAGAAATACATGGTCTTTGATCTCAGGTAATTCATGGTCTTAAACTTCCCAACATTAACCCCAGTAAAAATAAAAAATAAAATAAAAAAAACATTAGGACTAATTCCTATGAAAGAAATTTAAAAAAATTATTTAAAAATCTCCCTTAGAACAAGGCATTAGAATTATATGGTTTCAGAGATATCTGTAACACTTTCAGCAACAATAACAAAGAATCACATGGTTTCTTTTACAGTATAGTTTACTATAATACTTCTTATACTTTCCACAGCACAGAGAAAACAAAAAGATACCTTTAAAATTGTTACACAGAGGTCGTGATTTAGTAAGCAGTTAGGCAGCAATGAGCAGAATAGGAACAATAGCCTAGGTATAGGGAAGGTCGCCCAGGGCAGAAAGCCCCAGGCACCTGGCAACGTTGGAAGGTGGGACCTCACCAGGGTGACCTTTCCTCCCCAGCATGTTGTCTGGTCCTGAGTGGAGACTCTCCCGGACCTGCCCTGCCTCGGCATGCTG